TTTGAATCTTGCAATTCAACATGGAATTACAATGCTAAGGTTTCCTCCCCATTGTACCCATAAATTGCAACCATTGGATAGAACTGTTTTTGGACCTTTGAAAAGGTTTTAAAATGCTGCGTGTGATAATTGGATGGTCACAAATCCTAGACCTATGACCATTTATGATATTGTTTCAATAGTTCGCGAACCATATACAAAAGCTTTCTCACCATCTAATATACAGAGAGGATTTCAAGTAGCTGGCATTGAGCCATTTAATCCAGAAATTTTTAAAGATGATGAACATTTACCATCATCAGTTTCAGATTGTGCTGCTTCAAATGTAGTAAACACAATTCTTGTGGAATCTGAAATGACTGTAGCACATCTTGATGGCATGGAGCCTGAAATACCTGTAGTATATCATAAAACAAGTTTTTTGAACAAAGTGTCATTAAGCATTGCTTCATTAATCTCACCTGAAGTTTTGAAACCTTACCCGAAAGCATCTGCTAGAAAAAGAATTGTTAAAAGTATGCAATTAAAAACAAGGATTTTGACTGATACTTTAATCAGAAATGAAATTCGTTTGTTAGAAGAAAAGAAAACCCTAAAACAAAACAACCAACAAAAGAAATTCATCGCAAAAGATAAAAAAAGGGGAGAAGTTAAAAACTACTTGCTTAGGAACAAAAAACAATGTAATGAAAAAGCAGCATCACGACTTGACTTTGACAAAGGATGATAATATAAAAAAATAATCTTGTAAACTTTAGTTCTAATAAAAGTCTTGCATGAATTTTGTATTTTTTTTGTAAATTTAAAATACTGTATTTTTATAGACTTTAGAGGCTTCAAGTTTTGTAAAACTTAACACATATATATGTTAGAAGTATATAACAGGCTTATTTTCATAGATAGAATTGTGGTCATTCTTCTATAGTGTGTATATATATATATATATATATATATATATATATATATATATATATATATATATATATATATATATATATATATATATATATATATATATATATATATATATATATATATATATATATATATATATATGTATATATATGTTTTAAATTTTACTTTTTTTTTTAGATGTATTATATAATATACACTAATACCCTTCAATTAATGCATTTGTAGCACTTAGGTATAGGAGTATTAAAAATAAAAATATTTTTACTCATCTAAGATCAAGGCGCCCCATATCGGATATCATAGTACCCCATTGCATGGGGTACATTGATCTTTTGGAAGGTTTGTTGTAATGTTGAAATATACCATGTTCATCAATTTTTTTAATTAAAACATTTATTTTTACTCAAAGACAGATTGTTCTAGTTTAGTTTAGTAATTAATAAGTTTTTATCTAGATCGGGTTGTTTGCAGTTTTCAAAATACTGCAACGGCGATCAATGCGCCCCCATCTCCCCTACACTAAAAAAAAAAAATCAATTTTAAACTTTTACACGATTTAGTTTTATCATTTGTTTATTACTAAGGATGTAAAAAAGTTTATACTATATATTCTTGAAATCGTATGTAAAAAATACCCCTAATTGTTTGGCATGTATTTATCTGTGGGTGTGTGCATTCACTTTCAATCTTTTTGCTTTTGTTCTCTATATGTTTTTTTTTCTTAATTATTCTCAATCTAACAAAAAAAATTTAAAAAAGAAAGAAATAGGAGAATAAAATTTAAAAAAATGAAATTTTTTTTTTCTCTCCTTATTTAAAATATAATTTTGATAAAAATTTTATTGGTATTTAAAAGATTTTGTATTTTCTTGCACGGTTTTTAAAGGCTGTGCTATGTTTGGTATATATTACGGGGCTTAGTGGTAAGACAACTATAGTTTTCTTTTTTCTCCTTTTATGTAAATTTGTATTTTTTCATTTTTTTATTGTAATTATTGTCAAACGGCGAAATATATATATAAAAAAGAAGGTTCGTGTTGTTGGGGTTTGAGAATTGAGAGAAAACCGCTAATAAAAAAATTAAAAAAAAAAAATTTAAAAACAAGGCCAACGACACTGGGAGGAGCGGGAGTGAGAGGTAGTGGAGCACTATTTTTCAAAAAAGCTTTTTTTTTTATTATTACAAAATTTCAAGATATAGAGGATTTTTTTTAGAAATTGACGCTTTTCAATTCCATATCGTCGGCCCTAAAAAATAAATCTCTTTGACTTTAATAGTTTTGGAATTAAATGAATTATTATTTTAAATTAAAATTCAATTAAAAAAAGTACATAACTAAATCTTGTTTTCCTATATATGGGAAAATGGCATTTGTAGTTGTACTTGAGCTCAAGATATATTACTATTGAGCTCAAGGTATATTACTATTGAGCTCAAGGTATAATACTATTGAGCTCAAGGTATATTATTATTAGTTATTCCTACCAACTTAAATTATTTGTTAATTAGAAACTGAAAGGGCTATTCTAAAAACCTCAATTGAGATTTTTAGTAAAGCTTTTGAGTTTTTAACTAACAAACAATTTAGGGTGGTAGGGAGGAAGGAAGGTAAATTTAGGGTGGTAGGGAGGTAGGGAGGTAAATTTAGGGTGGTAGGGAGGTAAAAAAGCTACTTTCTAAAACTCGTCATTGTAACTCTTTTTAAATTATTAAAACTGTTTAGTTTATTAAAAAAATTTTCAACGGAAAATAAGTTAAATCTGAGCATTAAAAATTACATTTTTGAAACTTAATAAAAATAAACTTAATAAAAGCAAAATTAGAAATTCTTTTACACCTATTTATTATAATTTATTATACTCCGGATGACCGATAAGATTTGCATAAACCACTTTTCTCTAAGAACTATCGAATTTTTGTGAAAATAACACTTTTTTCAAACATATGTTACTACAAGTTCGTACCTAAACTGAATTTTCTCAAGATATTTAATGTTTTATGTAAAGTTCATAGGTCATCCGGAGTAATAAACAACAAAATTTCAAGTCAAATGCTCAATTCTAAAGCTATCATGTTTTGAGATATAGCAAGCAAAAAATTGAAAACAGAGAGAAATGCAGAACAAAAAAAAATTTAACAAAATATATGATAACAACTTAGCATATGAATCTCGATATGAATCTTCTTTTTCATTTTTTTTATCAAATTACCTTTTTTATTTTGAGGTTCAAAATCCTTTTCTACACTTTTTTTCTCCATCTGTGAACTTCTTTCCTTTTCGCTTAATGCGTGAATTAAATTTTTTGCCATAGATTTTGAAATTTTCAATTTTAAACCAAGGTGTTTTAAAACCTTCAATTTTTTGATTGACAATTGACATTATTAAAGTGAATAATAGTTGAAATTACACCTACTTCTACAGTTTCTCTGTCAAAAAATTCAGTTTTTGGTAACCTTGACTATATGAGCCCAATTAGGGCCTCATTTGGATTTTAGGTTTTCCCATATAAACGTTTATTTAACAAATCCTCATCTATTAAATCCTTAAAAAGGAGTAGAGGTAGACTCTTTGTCCAAAAAATATTGTATTAGAGGGATTGTTTTTGGACCAGTACTTGCACCAACTGTTGGTAAACCTTGATGGTCAAAATTTATGACCATCAAGGTTTAAAACTATCAAGTTTTAGGACCATCAAAATTTAGGACAATCAAGGTTTAGGACCATCAAGGTTTAGGACCATGAAGGTTTAGGACCATGAAGGTTTAGGACCATCAAGGTTTAAGACCTTCGCGGATGTTTTTTTTGATTCAAGAAAGTTTTTTTTTAATTTTTAAAGGTGTTTTTTATATTCTTACTTTTATTATTAATTATTAAAACAATCTAACTTTTAAGACGCGCTTTTCTCTAAAGAATACATTTTTTGTATATAAAATAATGTATAAAATGCACAATAGAAGTATAACAACTTTTCAGCTTCTGAGAAATGTTTGTGATTTCAAATATGATATTTAGACTACTGATGACGTAGCTGATACACCTTTCTGAATGTTTAGAGTAAAATATAAAAGCACATATGATAGGAAAATAGAGAATAAATTTTAACTTGCGGTAACTAGAGACTCGGTTGCTACATAAGAGTGTTTTAAAGTCTAAATATGAACCAAAAATATTTTTTTACTAGATCCAACTTTAGTTGCACAAAAACAAACATATCATAAAAGGAAATTCCAACAGTGAAAAAAAAAAAAAAAATCAACTTTTTGTACTTTGAATCATTTTTTATATCCCTACCACCTTAATACATAATCTTCAGTGGTTATCGCTTTTGATAAATCAAATACTTTTAATTAGGTATTTAAGTCTAAAATCCTAGTTTACTGCATTTTTTTTATATGGTGTATTTGAAAAAGTTATTAAATTTTTAAGTTTATATATATATATATATATATATATATATATATATATATATATATATCTTTATATATATATATATATATATATATATATATATATATATATATATATATATATATATATATATATATATATATATATATATATATATATATTTATAAATATATAAAGATATATATATATATATATATATATATATATATATATATATATATATATATATATATATATATATATATATATATATATATATATAAAGATATATATATATATAAAGATATATATATATATATATATATATTATATATATATATATATATATATATATATATATATATATATATATATATATATATATATATATATATATATATATATATATATATATATATATATATATATATAAAGATATATATATATATATATATACATATATATATATATATATATATATATATATATATTTTTTTTTTTTTTTTTAGGGAATTGTAGCAAACTAAGGGATTGTACATAAATTATAAAACGTTAGTTTTATTTGAAAAATGTTAGTCGGAGATCTTAGGCTCTTTTATGCGGCAATTTTCATTAAAATTAAAGCGCTATTTTTTACAATTTAAGACTCTTTAAGGAAAAAGCATTTAATCTTTTTTGTTTTGTTTATTAGTGAAATTTAGCGTAGCGTAATTTATGAACGATCCTTAAATACAGACAAAATTAAGGTGACAATAAAAATTAAGGATTAATATACAAAACTAAAAAAAAAATTTAAAAATAAACGAAACATTGTAAAAAAAAATCATAATAAAAAATAATAATTTGAAGAAAATAATTTAAAAAATGAGATAAAAAAATGAAAATTATTTCAGACCAACGTCTATGGGTCAAAATTTTCATCGTCCAATGATATCTCATTTTCGTGCGCATTTTGTAACTTAAACGAAACATTGTTTTTTAATTCATCTTCGTTGTCTTTTTCAAACGATTCGGAAAATTGTTTGGTATTATTACCTTGCTTTAAAGAAGATTCTTTTGAACTTAAACTTTTTGCCACGCGGTGCATGAAAACCAGTTTAGCAACAAAAAAGCTTGTTGGTGTAGCAAGAAAGCACCCGCATAAAATATAGAGCGCAATATTTTGTGGGCTTAAGCTACAAAGAGCACATAGAAGTGACCAAAAAGGAACATTTAAAACTTTAAATATTATATACTTATTTTGTTGTGACATTGTTTGAAAGGTGCGGCCAAATGTTGCCCATTGATAAAAATATTTATCTTTTGTCAAGAAACCATATAAAAAGAGAAAAAAGTTTCCCATGCTGGCACAAAAAACTATTAAACTTGCGTAATGAATGCTACTTGACGATTTGTGGTCTCCTTTAATACCAAATTGTAGAATCATATTTGCGGCAAGAGGACATAAACAACAAAATGCCAAAAAAAATTTCTGTATATAAAGCGCTATTACTGGAACAGTGCGAAACAGATGCAAAACGCAGTGGTTAACATACCATAAAGTTGAAACAATACCAAAGGTTGCAAGAAACGTATAAAACTCTTGAAGACTGATTTTAAGTTCGTGGTTTAAATTGAATCCCGTTTTTTGGACCTCTTGAGAAAAATGTGTTGTGATATCGAGTATCAGAAGACTTACAATAATTGCAAATGCTGCGTCACTCATTACCTCTATACGCTCCTTTTGAATGTTTTTTTTAGAAAAATAGAAATAAAATTGATACTTTTTTATACTATTTGGGGTTTCCTTACGTCTTCGAATATATAAAAATAAGCTACGAAGTACAGGCATAACAGTTAGAATGGCAATAAACACCCAGGAAATAGCGTAGTGTACCAAAAAAAATAAACCGCCAAGTACGACAAGAATTAGGCACAATACCGGTCTGACAAGAACTATATCACGAAATTTGCGAAGTTCTTTTTTGGACCATTTTTGCATTTGAATGTGAAGAAGCTTAGGGTTTTCTGTAGCGTAAAACAGAATAGACATGTCTAAAATTTGAATGAACCCTAACCCACAACATGTTAACACAATTGGAACATAGTCATTCGGGCAACTTCCTTGAAGATATATTGCAAACGGAAGAATTATTGTAGCTAACATTTCTAATATAACTAATGTCAGAATAAAGTCGTCAACTCGCTTAACAAAAATTGATCGTACGTTCATGTTTTCCCAAATGGTTAACACAATAGTAAAACCAAGAAAAAACATGATAAACTCAGTGCGCATTTCAATAAGGTAATCAGAAAATGTTTTAGCATCTGTAGATTTTAAATCTTTAATTGGTACCACGAGAAAAGTTGCGCTCGTGGCCATTATTGCATCCGTGTAACCAAGCAAACGATTTGATTTAAATATGTCGTCGAAGTCACCTTCATTTGACGTTTCACTGTGTTTATCTAAATCTATTTTTTCATTAGGATGCAATGAAAGCATATTCGTTTGTTTTTTGAAATTTGTATCATCTTGCTTTAAATCTGCCATTTTTTCTTAATGGTCGAAATAAAAACAGCTATATATAAAAAAAAAAAAAAAAAATTAACAAAGTTTTTTTATCGTTGTAGTTATTCGTTTTAATGTTAGTGGTATTATTATTAATATTATTTTTATTATTATTGAAATTATGCAGAAAACTATTTTTATATTTCTTACTTTAAATATATAAAAAAGAAAAAGTTTTAAACCTTATTTGCTTGATTTCAACGGTTACATATTTATCAAACTTAAAAGTGAAGATCTCTTGAAGCTCAAGATTATATCGATATCTCGATATCTTCGAGAAATTAAGATTGCAGAACGAGGGAGAGAAATTTATCTGAGATAAATTACACCTTGAGATGTTGGCTAGAAAATAAAAATTAATTATTGAAAATAAACGTGATTCAAAAACATCTTCATGCAGAAGATAGAGACGTAATAGAAAAAGATATATCACATTTATTGAGACATTGTTTTTTTTTTTATCTTAATATATATAGCGTAAATTTATTATTTATGAGAATTTCATAAAACCCATTTTATAAAAATGTAAAATGATTTAAATATCTTTTCAAAAATATTTGTAACTATTGCATAAAATAACGCCCATAAAAACATCTTTTACTTTAAAAAAAATTCTCTTTGTTACAGTATACTGTTGATAGTTTTTTTTAAAATACTTGAAATAAGCTGAAATGTGAACATTAACATTAAATTATGTAACACAGTATTTATCCTGTGTATTATACAGGGTTAACAACGCCGGGGAGCACGTGCCTCCTCCCCCCACTCCCTTCACTTTTTTTTTAAAGGACCTTTTTTTTTTTTAGAAAATATTCTAGATATAGAGGACTTTTTTAAGAAATAAACAATTGTCCCCCTCGACTTCAAAACCCGTGTCTTCGGCCATGTCATAAACTAGAATTATGCACCGACACTCTATTTTTAATTCCATAACTCGGTTTCTCGATTTTTAACAATACACGGCTGTCGATACCTCAGTAACAAATCTAAAACGGCGTTAAATGGCTTGAATGTGATATTGAGCTTTTGGATAATTTACAAAATATTTATTGTTATCGACCAAATCTCTTCGTAAGAAATAGAAAATGTCAAAAGAGGCTTGATGATTTTATTATTTTGCCATCAATGAGGTTGGGGGTTGTCCATTAATTACGTCAATAAAATAGGGGGAGGGGGTCTGAACATTTTTGACAATTGTTGACACGGGGTAGGGAGGAAGTCAATTAAAAGTGATGTCAACAATTTTTTTTTTCTTTGTTGAGATTTATAGCTTAAATAGGCTGAGTTTGTAACGTAGTTTCTTTTAATAGGGAGGGGGGGGGGGTAATCAAAAGTTGACGTAATTTTATAGGTCTCTGGAAATTTGACAAAATGTTGACAAGGAGGAGGGGGGAGGTAAAAATTTCAAAAAAATTGTTGACGTAATTAATGGACAGCCCCTTGTAAAAATAGGAACTTTCTTACTTAAATTCGGATCAATGTCTTATTTTGCTAACTTGCTTGAAAAATTCTGCGCAATCCTGATTTACGAATATTGTCTGTGGGTTTAAATTTAGTTAAAAATAATGCGAAAAATGTTTTAATAAATTGATGCTCTCACGTTTGGGGCAGGGTAATCTCTGCATCTGCCGTTTTAATGAAAATAATGATGGAAATTTTGTATGTTCCCAGTGAGCATTTAATAAGGAAAAAATCTCTTTTGAATGTCCATAAGAAATTCAAAATTTTTAAAATACGTTTAAAAAACAACTTTTTTGAACTGAATGCTTGCTGGCTACATTTTTAACTCATTTAACTTTTCCTAAACTACTTTTAAAAATATTTTTATTAGTAGAATTGAAATTATAATTTTTTAATTTATCATTAAAATTTTGTTTTAGATTGTTTTAAATAATTAAGTATTGAAAATTAAAGGCTATATATTTAATGTAATATTATAGTTAACAGTTGAAAATAATATTAAATTTAATAATGCATTTAGGTTTAAATCTCAGAGTTTGAATTGTTGTTATAATGGCAAAATTCCAGAGTGCAGTTAAAGAAAATGCCAAAATACCAGATTCAAGGTCAATAGCTACAACGTATAATCGTTTTCTTGAAACTGAATCAGTTGAAGTTATATAAAATCCAAATACAAAAGAAAATATATATGAGACGCTTTAATCTTAGAGCTCAAACTGCAAAAGACTTCTCTCTTTTTTTTTTTTTTTTATTGGTGTAATTTATTTCGCCGTTAAAGAATGTTTACATTGCATATACATATATCAAAATTAATGGAAGGAGCAAGAAGAAGGCACAGTTTGCCTTATCGCCGAGCCCCACATATAAAAAAAACTCTGCATAAAAAAAAACTCTACATAACCGTAACATACAAATATATATAATACAAATATATATAAGAATTAAAACAGAAAATTACTGAGAAAATTAAGAAATTCAAAATAGGAAATAATTAAGAATTGTTGAAATGCTAACAACCGCTAAAATATTTAAAGTTCATTTAAACAAAAAGTTTTAAATAAAAAAAAAAAATTCATAATTAACATTATTACAAGATGAATTTTTAACAGCATTACTTAAATTTCATTGATATAAATAAATTTGTTTTTATTTGATTAAACTTCAAAATAAACATTTGAAGTCAGATAAATTAAGATCCCTGAATAGTAATAATTGTTTTAATTCATTTTTAAATTGCTCTAATGTAGTCTTGTTTTTGTTGACAATATCTGGGAATTTTTTCCACAGATAAGGTCCGCAATATTTAATTAAATAGGAGGTTAACTTTAAATTTAAGGACCATACTTAAATTTTTTTTTTTCTAATGAAGCTTTTCAGGTATCCCGTAGAGTTCATAAGCAGAACTGCCGAATTTGAAAGAAAAATCAAATACTGTGAAGAATACGATAAGCGCCATGCTATATGCGATAAGCGCTATGCGATATGCGATAAGCGCTTAAAGCGTTAGAACTTGGTTAAATGGTTAACGTTTTTTCTGAAAATCAAAAATGGGTGGTTGTGAAAAAAACAAACAAAATGGAGCCTCTATTGAATAGCTATTAAAATTAGCGTAAATGATTAATATAAAATTATTAAATGATGACATATAAAAACTACAAATCTTTTTATTTTGTTTATTTATCTTTAAACTTGGTGAGTAGTAAAGAAGAATGAGTAATATTTTTCTTTGGGTCGAGAATGTATTTTGGTCTTTGTTTAATAAAAGCGTTTGTACCTGTTTAGACAAAACATTTAAAAAGATTAGTATTTTTGTTATTATATTTATATATATATTTATTTATTTGTCATTCTTATTTATAAGCTTCAAAATGAAATATAAAATAAAAGAATGACAGTAGTCTTATCATCAAGACATCATAAGACAGTAGTCTTATCATTCCTCATAAGACTTATCTTAAGACAGCAGTCATCTCATAAGACAGTAATAGTCTTATCATAAGACAGTTATGATACTTATGTTAAATGTTATGTTAAGTGTTATACTTATGTTAAATGTATACTTATGTTAAATGTATACTTATGTATATTTATACTTATGTTAAATGTTATACTTATGTTAAATGTTATGTTTAAGTTAGTTACTTATGTCTTATGATAAGACATAAGTAGTTTTATCATAAGACAGTAGTCTTATCATAAGACAGTAGTCTTATCATAAGACAGTAGTCTTATCATAAGACAGTAGTCTTATCATAAGACAGTAGTCTTATCATAAGACAGTAGTCTTATCATAAGACAGTAGTCTTATCATAAGACAGTAGTCTTATCATAAGACAGTAGTCTTATCATAAGACAGTAGTCTTATCATAAGACAGTAGTCTTATCATCAAGCCACTTTAGTATAAGTAAAGTGTTTTTTTTTCTTTCACAAATTCACTTCATGTAAATATATACTTTCTCATATTATAAAACAATATAAAATAACTTCAAAAGAATATATAGATAAAAAAATAAAAAAACTTTGATAAAATAAGATTTTATAATACAATAAGAATTTTTTTGTTGTTATTATTTAGGTGCCCCAAGAAGACCTAACGGTCTTGTCACAGAGCACCGCGAAAGTGTATTTAACCAGAAAGTTCACGCCTCCTTCCTTACCGTAACGCGAAAATATGTCCAAAGCTCGTTTCGAACCTGAATCTACTGCTTATAAAGCAAGCGCTCTAACCACTACGCCACGGCCGCACAAATTAATAATATAATTAATTAATTATTAATAAAATAAATAAAATAAAAAAATTAATTATTAACATAATAAAATAAAAAAACTAATTATTAATAAAATTAATAAAATAAAAAAATTAATAAAAGAAAATCCCAAAGATCCAAAATAATATGATTTTTTTTTTTAATTTTTATTTTTCTGTTAAAAGTACAAAAATATGTTTCTGCCTGGTAACTCAAGCAAAAACATTTAACAACATTTTTATTAGAATTTATTGAGATTTATACTTTTCATGTTTTTATCAAGAACTGTATTCCAAAAAAAAGTTCCTCAATATGAAATTCAACAATCTGTTTTTTTAGATTATACTTAGGTAAAACAAAGTTGTAAACAATATTTAAACATATATAATAAATTTTGGAAGAGGTTTAACTCATAGACATTAAGTGCTTTTATTTCTTGGAACAACGGCTTAGCGTGAGTATATTTATGCACATTACATATAATTGCTTCTACATGCTTGTTTTTGTTTGATATACACATTTTTTATAAAATATATGTAACTGGAAATCTGCCGTGGCACAGCAGTAGAGCTCTAGCTCTGGAACTAAAAGGCCCTAGGTTCGACGCTGTGCCTATTTTAATAAGCAACATAGGTAAAAAAGAAAGAAGACGTGAGCTTCATAGTTATATGCTCTTTTGCAGTACTCTGTTATAAGACCGTAAAAACTTATATGAGCACCTCAATATCTATAAATATATATAAGCACAAAATATTGAGGCAAGTTATAAAACTAGCAAATTTCTTAAAAGTTTAAATTTTTTTCCAATATCATTTAAAAACAAAAATTCAGTTTAAACCAAGCTTTATTAAAATGATATAAACACGAGGATTAACCCCCTGAATGCAACTTATTCTACATTTCAGAGAGCATTTGTGTCAGCTTCTAATAATAATAATAATGAAAAAAATGCACCTAATATTAACTGAAAAAATAAAAACAAAAAATAAGTGCCATGAATATAAACTGTGTAAACCAATTTGGTTTGTTAATAGTTAATAGTTTCTGTTCATATAAACTCATAAAAAATTTTGTGATGTTGAAAGAATTTTAATAAGCTGATTTAAGTGAATAGCCTGAATACTCTAGAAAAATGTT